CAGGGCAATCATTCACTTAAAGAACCGTCTTGCTCAGCAGTGGACATTTTGGACTCAATTGTGGTCATAAGTTGAGGACCACCTCTAGTTATCTTGTATTATTCATATTGTCTTTAAGGAGGGTACTCCAACACTGGAGGTTTTGATATTGAATAACTATTTGCCTGAAATGGTATAGGATCTCCTGCCTGAGCAGGGGGTTGGACTAGAAGATCTTCAAGGTCCCTTCCAGCCGTATTCTGTTCTGTTCTGCTTTGCTCTGCTCTTGTTCCTGTTTCATTCCATCTCCAAGGTCCCTTCCAACTCTGTTCTTCTGTTCTTCTTCTGTTATTTTGTTATTCTTATTATGCTGTTACCCTATTATTCTTCTGTTATTCTTGTTATTGTTTTTCTTCTGTTACTCTGTTATTCTATTATTTTGTTATTGTTACTCTATTATTCTTCTGTTATTGTTACTGTTATTCTGTTATTCTTCTGTTATTTTATTATTGTTTTATTCTGTTACTCTATTTATTCTTCTGTTCTTGTTATTCTGTTATTCTGCTAACATGGCACTCCCTAGACACTTTACTCAGTGCCCAACCACCTCCTGACCTTTTAAAAGGGCAAATGAATATTTGATGACTGGCCCCACATATCTACCAGGCAATGTGAAAGTGGACCCCCTCACAAAAGCCATCTAGAGAGGTCCCTTGGAGAGATAGGTGGCAAATAAATTCAACAATAAATAAAATTAAAGTATGCCCAACGCTAAAAGCTTGCAGTTTCATTTTAAGGAATGAACAGTGGGAAATATAAGGTTGCAGCATAGATCTCTCAACTTTCAACCTTAATAAATACAAGGAAATGCAAGCTTTTGGAGCATCTGAGGGGCAGGATGATTAGAAGCAAGAAATGGAAACTAATCAAGGAGAGAAGCAACATAGAACTAAGGAGAAATGTCCTAACAATGAGAACAATTAATCAGTGGAACAACTTGCCTCCAGAAGGTGCTCCATCAGTGGAGTATTTTAAGAGACTGGACAGCCATTTGTCCAGAATAAGGAAGCAATGGGAACAACAAAGTCCCTTCCAAGTTTGTTATTCTGTTATTTCTTTAACAGTTAGCAAAAAACTAAGCACCATTTTGTCCTAAGCTTAACTTTCCATTGGCTATATTTCTATTTATGTTTCTGATGCATCCAATTATTCTTCCTTAATAGTAATTCTCAAACTTCCATCCTGTGAAGCTCCAGTTAAAAGATGCTCACCCTTTCAATTAAAACCAGGGTGTAGTTGAACTTTGATACAATTTGACCCGTCAATTGCATTTGTATTCAATCAGGGTTTTTTTCCCCCAAGGGGTGAAAATAACAGACTAGGCACCTGGAAATTTAGCCCAATCAGCTTCCAATTAAAGCTTTGCAAAGCCCTAAAAACCAAACCTTTGCATTTTTATCTGCAAAGAATGAGGATTATGATATCTATTTGAAGAAACACTCCCTAATTGTGACCTTGACTTGGGAAGAATCAAGTTGACAAAGGTGTACCATACTACTCTTTCATTCTCTTCCATTCAGGGGGAAAAGGGGGGAAGATGATCCTTTTTTTCCCCTGAAAGGAAGAGAATTTATATAACAGTGTGGTGTGCAAAATGATTATGTACACAATATTTACTAAATATCTCTTACTGGGTTCTCAGCTTTGCAAAAAAAAAAAAAAAATTCAATGTACAAAATATTACAGGCTGAAATGCAAATTCACCCACCACAACAATGAGATGGTGAGGTTTTGAAATTTATATATATTTTAATGTCACATTAACCAGAGATATTAAAGAAGGAAATAGGAGGCATGCAGGCCCCTTGCATAAATTGAGATACCAGGGAAACCTTAAATATTATACGGGATTAATGGTTTTAAGGAAAGAGTCTGGCTTATCAACTTAAGAGTAAGAAGATAAAATGCAATTGCTTGAATCCCATAAATATGGAAGCCATCTAAATTATACTTTCTAAAAGAGACATGTTCATTTTTTTTCAGGCTCCAAAATAGGCTGCTCCCTCAACCATCTCTCCAATTTAACTGGGGGGGAGACTTTGTGTAATAAATGATATGCTTGATTTGGAGACATGGAAACCTTGATGTGTGATTCGAGTGTTATTTCTGTAGTGTCAAAAAGATTATTTGCATATATTCTCTGCCCAGCATTTATTCTGTTACTTTTTCAAAATGTGATTTAAAATAATTGAGTGCCGAGGATGGGGAAACTGGCACAAATTATGTAGCCAAAAAAATACCGCATTTAATAAGTTGAACAATTGGGGTTCCTCTCCACCAAGGTGAATCTTCTAAAAATGATGATCTGGAAACTTTCTCTTGCAAATGTCCTCTCTCCGGGGAGAGAAAGATGAACTTTTTGAATATATATAGCTAGTCCTCGACTTAGAACCACAGTTGAACCCCAAATTTTTATTGCTAAGTGAGACAGTAGTTAAGTGAATTCCCCCCCATTTTAGGATCTTTCTTGCCCCAGTTTTTAAGTGAATCACTGCAGTTGTTATGGTTGTGAAGTGAATTTGGCCTCGCAAAAGGGGATCCCATCACATGACATCCCCCAGGACACTAAACCATCATAAATACCAGTATGAGCCAGTTGGCAAATGTCCAGATTTTGATCACATGACCCAATGGTGGTAAATGTGAAAAATGGTCAAGTTACTTTTTTCAGTGCTATACATGGTCACTCAATGAAATGTTCTAAGTTGAGGACTTACACTGCAGCATTTTATGTTCATGTTTGCTCTTAGAAGTGACAGCATGGAAAGCAGTCTGTGGAAGAACATTAACCATGCAAATATAGATAGTCCTTGACTTACAACCATTGTTTCAACGACAATTCAAAGTTACAATGGCACTAAAAAAATGAGTTATAGCCATTTTTCTGTTACAACCATGACAACAGTCCCCATTGGACACGTGATCAAAATTTGGCCACTTGTGGCCCAGGGTCAAATGATCCCCTTTTGTGACCTTCTGACAAGCAAAGTCAACAGGGAAGCCAGATTCAATTAACAACCATTTTACTAACTTATCAACTGCAGAGATTCTTAACAACTGTGGCAAGGAAAGTCGTAAAATGGGGCAAAACTAATTTAAAAAATGTTTCACTAAACAGAAATTTGGGGCTCAATAAGTCGAGAACTACAGGTATTAGAAAACAAACAACAAAATAATGAAGCACTGGAAACAAGTAAATGAGAAAACAGGAAAACAGCAGCAGAAGAAAAATGATTATAGAGGAGAAAAGATTAAAAAAGACTTTTTGCTTCCAAAAAGACCTTGTTCCTGGCCTTGTTCCTTGATTTTCCTGGCATACTTCTGCTTTTAAAATTATGTATATCCTCTTCTTTTTAAAAGGATACATACCTCTTTTTTCCCCCCGTCCATTCAATCATGGCCAATTCTCGAAGAGTTCCTGGAGAAGTTCTTGTAGTTTTCTTGGCAAGTTTTTTCAGAAGTGGTTTGTCATTGCTTCCTTCTAGGGGCTGAGAGAAAGTCACCCGGATGACTTTGTACTTGAAATAGGATTAGAACTCAGTCTCGTCTATCTTGATGCCTTAACTATAGGTTATCCTCAACCTACAGCAGTTCATTTAGTGACCGTTCAAAGTTAGAACGGCACTGAAAAAAGTGAGGGATGACTTATTTCACACCGATGACCATTGTGACATCCCCACTGGTCACATGTCCAAAATTCAGGCGCTTGGCAGCAGGTTCATATTTATGATCTTTGCATGATCCTCTTTTGTGGCCTTCTGTCAGGCAAAGTCAATGGGGAAGCCAGATTCACTTAATGACCATGTAACTCACGTTCCAACTTCAGTCCAGAGGTGGCCAGTTGTGACCAGTTCTGGAGAACCAGTAGCAGAAATTTTGAGTAGTTCAGAGAACCGGCCAATCCCACCTCTGACTGGCTCCGTCAACCCCATCTATTCTCTGCCTCCCATTGAGTCCCAGCTGATCGGCTGGGTCTTCTTTGGTTGCCCTGCACAGGAGAATGGAGCTGGAAAGCAGGTTAACGGGGTGGAGAGAGAATGGGGATTTTGCAGGATATCTTTTCCCTGCCACGCCCATCAAGCCTCGCCCACAGAACCAATCCCGCCACTGCTTCCGTGATTCACTTAAGATATGTGGCAAGACACTTTGTAAAGTAGGGCAAAGCTCACTTAACAATTACCTCACATAGCAATGGAAATGTTGGCCTCCATTGGGGTCATAAGTCAAGTACTACCTGTTTAAAAAAAGGTCGGGGCTTCAATTGCAGGGTTGTCTTTATGTTTTGATCTGAGGAATCACACGACCCTGGGGCAATGCGACCGTCATAAATGTGAGTCAGTCGCCAAGCTGTCTGAATTTTGATCAGGTGATCGTCGGGAAACACCGCAATACCGGTCGTTAAGTGTGAAAAACGGTCATAAGTCACATTTTGTCAGTGCCGTTGTAACTTTGAAGGGTCAGCAAACAAACTGCTTGTAAGTCGGGGACTACCTTTAGGAGGGCCACCCGGGGGTGTGGGGATGATGGGCTTTGTAGTCCACAAAAAAGCACCTCCCTCCCTTCACGAAATCGCTCCGCTTTCCCCCCCCACCCCTTTTTTTTTTTCTTCCAGGCGCGCGCGCCACATAACGTTCCCCGCGAGGCCCCGCCCCCTTTATCCAGGCGCGCGCGCGCGCGCTCACGCCTTCCCCTCCTCCCCTTTGAAAAAAAAAGGGGCACGCGGCCCACTTTCCCTAACGCTTTCTAACGGTCGGCAGAGCGCGCGAGGCGAGGAAGGCGAGCGCGCATGCTCCTCTCTTTCTCCTCCTCCTCCTCCTCCTCCGCAGGGCTTTGGCCACGCCTCCCCGGTCTGTGGTCCGTCTCCTGAGGAAAAAAAAAAAAAGCAGGAGGGACGGGGAAAGAAAAAAACAAAAAGAGCACACCCAACCCAGCCCGCGTTTCCCGTCGTGCTTTGCGGGGCCCTTGGCACTGACGTGGCCGCCGGGAGCCGCCATCTTGTGCGCAGTGAGGGAGGCGGAAGGCGAAGGCCAGAAGCAGGTGAGGCACCCGGCGCGCCCGGAAAGGACGACGACGACGGAGACCTTCGCAGCCAGGCACCCCGCGACGTCGCCCGGTAAGCAGCCGACGCTTCACGAAGTCATGGCGGCGGCCTGGTCCGAACCGACCTTTCTTTCGCCAGCTGTCCGCGCTGAGGCGGACGGGCCTAGCTCGGGTCCGGACGGGGCAGTGTCCCCCAGACGCCCGTTGTTCTCCCGGCCGAGCTGTGCGGCTCTTTCCCTCCTTTGACCTTCCCCACTGCCCCCCTAGATGGGGGTGCAGCGGGGTACCACCATTCCCCTCATCCCCAGCCCTCCCGGCCCAGAAGAAAAGGGGACTGTAAGTCAGAGGGGGAGAAAGGCTGCTCTTAAGCGGGATCTGGAATGCTCTGGGGTTGAGGATCACTTTTTACACACACGCGCGCGCGATCCTGGCGCTTTGACCTGGCTGAGTAGCGTCCATGGGGGGAGAAGGCAGGGTGGCCGCCAAGGGTGGATGATGGGGTTTGGGGGAGGGTGATGGGGTTGGGAGGAAAATGAAAGGATTTGGGGTGGATGATGGGGCTTGGGGTTTGAAGATGTTGTTTGGGGATGGATGGTGGGATTGTCTGGTGGAGGGTTGAGATGGGGGGACACAGACACGGGATGGGTGGGGATTTGGGATCCCTTAGTCACTTGCTGGTGACTTCATCATCAGGGCAAACAGTTGCGCAAGGCTAGGGAGTTTCAAGTACATACATTGTGGTGGTGGTGAAGACTCTTCCTCTTTATTAGTGGAGGAAATCGGACTCAAAAGGTCTGCGTTGACAGGTCTGGACAAGAGCCTTAATTCATTTGGCCAGCGTGGTGAATAAGACGCTAACACCTTGGGCAGAGGGTTGGGCTAGATGACCTCACAGGTCCCTTCCATCCCTAGGATTTGGGAGGGAGGATCAAATATTAAGCCCATGACAGAAATGTGAATTACCATTAGACAAACTTAGATTATTGTACAAGACCTTAGCTAGGTCTTTCTGTGTCTTCCTTAAGCTTGTTAGGCAAACTGAGCCATGAAATGGGAAGGTGGGGGGGAGGAAGGAAAGGAGAAAGAGGGGAGGGAAGGAAAGGACAATGAGAAAAGAAGGAGAAAGGAAAGAAGGAACTAAGGGGGAAGGGAGGGGAAAGGGAGGAAGGGGAGGAAGGAAAGGAGAAAGAAGACCAGGGGAAAGTAGGGAGGGATGAATAAAGGAGTGGAAGCTGGTCAGAGAAAGATGTAACCTGGAAATAAGAAGGAATTCCCTGACAGGACTATGAATCAGTGGATCAGCTTCTCTCCCAGAATTGTGGGTGTTCCATCTCTGGACATTTTCAAGAAAAGATTGGACAACCATTTGATCACAATGGCATATGTTCTTCAGCCTTGAGCAGAGGGTTGAACTAGATGACCTGCAAGATCCCTTCCAGGCTTATGCTTCTCAAAGCTGTTTTCCTAGCCATTCCAATTTCCAGGGTTGTGAGCTGAATCTCTAGCTTTGCCATGCAGGCAACTACAGTACAATGTAATTCTGGGCATCAAAGCCATCAGGACTACGTGATTCATTGCATAAACTTCTTTTTCCTGAAATACCAGGAAATGTCAGGCCAGATTGATATTGCTAGTTTCTGCTGATCAGCCGATGCACACCAGTGGAGAAAGTCCTCTTTGATTAATTAATTTTTTTTAAGGAAGTATGTTAAATAGCTTTTCATGTTACCAATATCTGGTAATGACATGCCCCTCATAGTTATGATTCTTGATTCTTAACTAATGTACCTTTTCTTTATGTATACTGAAGAGTATTTTACACCAAGACAAATTCCTTGTGTGTCCAAACACACTTGGCCAATAAAGTATTCTATTCTATTCTCATAAATACTTGGGATAATGAGAGGGCAGTTGTTTTTAAACATTAATCTTTGTGTTTAAGAATCAGCTTTTGCAATAAAAAATGTCAAGGATGGCATTGCTTAAAAAAATTCTTAGTGGATTCTAACGTACTTTCTGATTTTTAACTTATTTGTCTTTCCATTCACCAGCCTATCTTAAATTTTGGCTAGCTTAAGGTTTTCATCTTTGTGTCATGGAGAAATAAATATAAACAAGATGCAGAAACTAATACAGCTTCAGAAGCAAACACCTCAGTTATTCAGCTTCACTTTCCCCCACCCCCTTTATTTTCCAGCCTAGACTTTTCCTTGTTTGTTCATCAGAACTTTTTGAAAGTTACTGTCCTCCATAAAGTTCTTGCTATGCTATACAATCTTTATCATAATCTACACACTTTTGAAACATTTGGAGATTTCTTTTACAATGCTGGCAGTCTCTTCTGTGTAGCTCTCCTTAAAGAATGTGCATAGGGCAAACACTCTTCATCCTAGGTAAGAGATAAAAAATAGTTCAGGTACTTCTTGATCACATTGGGAACCAAGATTTCCAACACTAAACAAGGCAATTGTGCCTGATTTTATGATCTTTTTTTGCCATGATTGCTAAGTGAACCACTTCAGTTATTAAGTGAATCACACAGTTGTTAAGCAAATCTGCTGATTCCCCATTGACTGCTTCTCAGAAGCCAGTTGGAAAGGTCACTAGTGCTAGGACTCTGCAACTGTTCATCATAAATGCTGATTGCCAACTGCTGAAATATTGATCACGTGACCATGGGGATACGACCATGTGGTCATAAGTTGAACACTACCTGTAATAAATTGTGGGTATACAGTTTGGCATCTGGCAGGTAATCTCCTGTAAATTTCAGCTACAATGAAAATCAAAATATTCAAGGAGTTTTTCTTGCATTTCCTTTTCATTTGCTTCAGACCAGTTGCTTTAGAAGCATCTCTGTGAAATGTGCCCATGATTACAGATGGCACATAGTCTGGCTTGAACTGCTTAGTCTAATATGTTTGGGGATTTTAGTGTGTAATTGTCTGGAACAGGCTTGGGAAACAATTATGTTAATGCAGCTATGTCTGGCATTTCTTGCAATCTCCATATTCATACTAATGTACTAATACCACTCTATAAAGCCTTAGTAAGACCACACCTAGAGTCCTGAACCCTGTTTTGGTCACCACACTATAAAAAAGATGTTGAGACTCTAGAAAAAGTACAGAGAAGAGCAACCAGGATGATTAGAGGACTGGAGGCTAAAACATATGAAGAACAGTTGCAGGAACTGGTCCTGGCTAGTCTAGTGAAGAGAAGGACCAGGGGAGACAGGAGAGCATCTTCCAATATTTGAGGGGCTGCCACAGAGAGGAGGGAAGGGGTCAAGCTATTTTCTAAGGCACCTGAAGGCCAGACAATTATGGATGGAAACTGAACAAGGAGAGATTCAACCTGGAAATAAGGAGAAACTTTCTGACAGTGAGAACAATCAACCCATGGAACAGAAGTTGCCCTTGGAAGTTATGGGAGCATCATCACTGGAGACTTTCAAGAAGAGATTGGACTGCCATCTGTCAGAAATGGTGTAGGGTCTCCTGCTTGGGCGGGGGGTTGGACTAGATGACCTACAAGGTCCCTTCCAACTCTGATTATCTGTAATCATACAACATTTATATCTTCCTTTGAAATTAAATTAGCAAACCATAAACTCTCATATTACCCTGGCTGGGATCACTTCACAGTTGCCATAATGCATTAGAGGCAATGGGCAACTTCATCTCGGAAGAACAGGTTCTTGAACATGGCAATACAATGCTTTTATTACCTCGAGTCATCTTCCTGACTTAAGACAATAATAATTTGTCTTAAGTCAGGAAGATGACTCGAGGTAATAAAAGCAAGCCCTTGTTCAAATAGTCATAGACTACAATTGAGCCCAAAATTTCTGTTGCTAAATAAGGCAGTTATTAAGTGCGTTTGAACCCATTTTATTATCTTTGTTGCCATCATTAAGTGAATCATTGCAATTTTCAAATTAGTAACCTGGTGAAGTGAATCTGGCTTCCCCATGACTTTGCTTGTCAGAAGGTCACAAAAGAGGATCACATGACCCCAGGACACTGGAACCATCATAAACATGAGTCAGTTGCCAGGTGTCCAAATTTTAATCATGTGACCATGGGGGATGCTGCAATGATTGTAAGTGTGAAAAAACAGTCGTAAGCCACTTTTTTCAGTGCAGTTGTAACTTCGGTCACTAAATGAATTATAAGTCAAGGACAACTTCTATCTCCTTTTGGTACTTCTAGCTTTAAGCAGGTGGGAAGTTTTTTGATGCTTTGGATCTGGACAACCTATTGCACCTAAGTTGGATCTGTTATCTAACCTACCCCTTCCAACTCTGAGCTGCTAGAGAGCAGTGTTTAGTTTTCATCCATCCCTATTCCTGCTTCAAACTTAAAAGATGTTATTTGGCATACTGCTTTTGGGAGATGGAACAAGGTGTCATGTCTTTTTGGAATACAGGAAGTTCTTGACTCACAACTGTTTGTTTAGTAACAGTTCAAAGTTACAACAGCACAGAAAAAAGTGACCTATGAGTCTTTTTCACACAATGGTTGCAGCATCCCCACAGTCACATGGTCAAAATTCAGACGCTTGACAGCTGGTTCATATTTATGACAGTTGCAGCATCATGGGGTCATGTGATCCCCTTTGTGACCTTTTGACAAGCAAAGTCAACAGAAGTGAGATTCACTTAAGAACTTCAGTTATCCACTTACGTAATTGTGGCAAGAAAGATTATATAATCAGGCAAAATTAATTGTCTCACTTAGCAACAGAAATTTTGGGCTCAATTGTAGTCATAAGCCAAGGACTGCCTGTACTCCAATGTGCAACACCCACATCGGGACCCCAGGCCAGTTGGCAGAGCCAGGTTTTTAAGGCCTTCCCAGAAGACCAAAGGGTGGATTAAAATCTCATCTCAAGGGGCACAATATACCAGAAAAGGTCCTTCTGGACCCCACCAGCTGGAACTGCTTGCTGATTAAGATTGAATTAAATCTGGTGACTGTTACCCCTGGTATCAAGGGCAAGCAAATAGCAGCTGCATTGCAGCTGAAGGAAGAAGGAAACTTCAAGGTTAGCACATCATAACACCCTCTG